GTGTCGTGATTTCTGTGGATAAAATAATGTGTCGGGGCATATGAGGTAAACTCGTGAATTGAAGGGCTTTTTTTTTTATTGAATATTCAATGCGAGTGCTATATTTTCTGTGGAAACATTTACTCCGGTCGTAAATGGCTTTCATTATTTCCCTCCGGATGTGGATGAATTGTATTTTTCGATGCTGAGTGTTTTTTTTACTGCTAATGGGGGAGGCGAATTAAATCTGCCTTTTTTTATCGTTCAAGAATTTTTTTCGCGGTTTTCACACGCTATTTATTCGTGATATGAATATTTTTTAAGAGGAAGCTCTTATCAACTGGTAATTAAACCCATTTTGTTCTAGAATTATTGGACAAGCACTGAAGGATGATTTTTTAAAAACAATTTCGCACTTATTGTTAAAAAATTGATAGATGTAGTAATAAAAATTCGGTGGTGGAGTAAACTGGGAGAAGTGCATTTTTTTTGAAGCCGTTTTTACCCAATATCTCGGAATTGAAGGGTGATATCGGATTTTTTGTGTAAACATTTTTTATAGGAAAATGTGAGAGCTAGAAAAAAGGGGTCTATGAAAATGTCATAATTTTTCGTCAATTTCGAGAAATCGGGGAAAAACTGGCGTTGAAAAAAATTCACTTTTCCTAGTTTACCACAATCTTCTCATTTTTCACGTTTTCCACAATTTTCCGATAACCGTGTGATGAAATTGACGATAAAAAATACAACATTTCTAATTTTTATTATTATTCAACGTCTCATCAAGTTCCGTCCCCTAAAAAAAATTCCATACATCCTCAAACCTTCGGAAAAATTCCCAAAATTCAACCAAAAGTTAAGAAAAAACAATCAGACACTTAAAAAAAATCGCGAGTCATCGAGCAATAATAAAACTTCAAAACAATAAATTTTTTCAGATCAACCTGATCGAGGATTTTCCGGAATTCGAAAAGCCACGAAAAAAAGACAAGTAAAATCACAAGTAAAATTTTTCCTCCCCTCTGCAAGTGTAAAAAATTCCATTATCAGATGACATAAAAAAAAGGGAATGAAATAAATCACTCGAATATGAAGTAGATTATCATTTATTCATAGTATACACGTGCATGGGATTATGTACAGTTCACCCATCGATTGTATCAATATTTACACACATTTGAATAATCAGTAATACTTTAAAAAAATGTA